GTCCTTCTTTTGCATAGTGCGGATGTACCGGCCTATAATAAAGCTCGAATCGCGCCGTCATTCATTAGCATAAAAGCACGATACGCGCGCGCTTCGATCGAGTGGAGGGCTCCATCGCTATAAGCGACTACCTGATATTACGCGCCATATAATACCGGGATGTGTCCTGGGGTTCTTATACAAGAATTACGCATTATGGTATCTTTATCAGAAAAAAATTTCTCATATATGAATTGCTAAAATATCTTCCGATCTAATTATTAATTACCTATATCATAGTCGAATGTAATTAGCATAATGGAATCATGCTTATGTGCGAGAGCCATAGAAATACGAGTCAATTCCTGTAACGCATCGCTGTACCACGAGAATTTTCCGATTGCACCACATTTCGACGTTGATTGGATGCCATCCTTTGCGAATCTCTCTCTGCAATCGCGAATTCATCGTCGAATAATACGAGTATCTGGGCTTACGCGTGATTTTAATTAAACTTATTAAGCTGTTTTAATTTGCATTGTATTAGCCGCGTACTACTGTTGTAGCCACTGTATGAGCTTAAAATATCTTCAATGGCTTTAAAGTGGCTCTAAAGTAGTTTTCAGTGGTAAATTAATAAAATTATCACTTAATTGAAACTCTATTTATTCAAACAAGCCTTATTAACTTATTTACGGTATAATGCATTTAAATAGTCCGCGTTCATATCTTTTGGAACGTTATCAAATAATTCTTATGTCTGCGTTTTTGTTCTTATATACGAAATTATGTATAATATTAAGCGTAATGTTTTATATTATTTTTGATGTAAATAAGAGAGTATAATTTAACGTGTGGAAAATGTTACAATAGAGGATTGAAAAGGGTTGAGATTATCCGAGCGGAGGGTTAAATTCGTCGGCATCCTATTCGTATAACTTTCGAAATAAACAACTCGTGTTTTGTACACGCGTGTTGTACTCTCTCTGTTCGTCTCTCCGAGTCGCAACTCGAATTCTATCAAGGTACAATTAGCATACACGAAGCGTGCGTGACGGTAAGAGACGCTGAATGGACCGCGATGTTATGGATAATTTTCGTGGTGCGACGTATGGCAATCGCGCTGTGTCGAAACTTCGGCCAGTTGCGAAGTTATATTAAACGTTCCGGGGTGTACATATATTCATATGTCTCTGCCTCGTCCATGTTGCGGACGTTGCACCCTTTGTGCCCGGCAAGTGCCAGTTTCGTGCGTTATTATTTGTGGTCCAGTATATGTTGCTTTATGTTGTGAAATTATCGCGAGAAAGTCGACAGAGGGAGAGTGAGAAACGAAGAGAAGAGGAGAAAGAGAGGAGATGTACATAATCAATTAAATTGAGAAGGAAATTCGCGCGTATCTTTATAAAATATGAAGAAAGTTAAGAAGAAAGTCGCCGATACTGACATAGATTTTTTTTAAAGAGACCCCCTTATTTTTCGTAAACTATTACACTTTATTAATATTAATAGAAACGTGATCTATATGTATATATATTTTCAGATAGCACAGAGAGTTCAAAAAGAATTTGTATGTCATCAATTCTGAATTTATTTTTAAATGCAAAAGAATTAATTCTTTTCAGAACTTTTCAGAAAAACAATTCTTTTTGAGCTTTCTATACTATTCGAGTTCAAATAACTAAAGAAGTAAAAATAATAATTCATACATTTGTGGGCTGTTTTTATACATAGAATATAGCAAAAAAAACATTATTGCTTATTAACAAATATTTTCAAATTGCGAAGAGTTTTAATCTTTATCACCATAAATGCTGACAATGCAACACGTTTTTATGCGATTCAGCGCAACTGTCATCATCATACAAGAGTATCAACTTTATGAAGTAGTAGCAACTCCGTAGCTACTATAGTCAAAATTAAATGCAAATATTGCAAAGTCGAGACAACACTGCACAAAGTCTTGGACTTGCACCTGCCTTTACGCAACACGCGGTGCTTTCCAAGACGAGTTTCTCTCGCAATCGGAAATAAGTACGAAACAAAGCGACGGCTATCGTGCGGTTTACGAAGTATTACGACTATCCCAAGTGCGCTGTTTAAAAACTTTCGCGCATTATCTGCATATGTTGCATCGACCATATCCACCGCAGCGGTTCTGTAACGGCTGCATACACTGTGATGATATTCGCTAGCCTTGTGATTTATTTCACCCACGAAATATCATATATATCGCAAAATATATTTCTGATATACCATCACACAACGTGAAAAATTTATTTTAGCTAAAAGAATAAAAATATATTAAAAAAAAGGAATATTGGGAACCAGAGTATGGGCGTACATGAAATATTAAAGATTTATAAGAGAAAATTTTAATAAAAGGTTAATAATAAATTATTGTTATCTATTAAAAATCTTTAATAAAGTATGATACTATTTTATTTTTGCAATTAAATATACTGTATTAAAATTTTATTTTCATTCAAATTAATATAATTAAATATATCTTATACGTAACTAGAGATTTTTACTTTTTACTTCTATTCTTCCGTAATGGATAAATTTCATGTTGAGTAATTTAAACAGAATTACTATGCAAACGGACATTTTGCCTTGCGGATAGATTCAACCATCGAATAAATATGTTACTCATCTAGCGAACACCTTGGCATAACGAGATGGTGCAGCGAGAGAGGGGAAGAAGTCCATCAGGAAAATTGAACAAAACTCAAATTGATCCGGAACTCGCGGATCCCCGTGGCTTTTCGTCGAAGCTTCCGCTTGCTGTTCCCGACAGTAATTAAATAAGCCGAGTTATACGGAGGAGGAAAGTTCGCGAAATTCGCGAACGCGCCGCATGTACGTTAAAACCGTCCGGCCTCAGAAAGTTTGCGAACAAACGTTATTGCACGACAAAGGCATCGCTAGCGATATCATTTGCCGTCATATTTATAAAATCTCACGATTATCATAGGCGAGACTATCTCTACTAAATTGTGAAGAAAGAAACATAAAGAGAATAACATAAAAGTTACGAAGACTTAGAGAATTCAATTATATATCTATAATAAATATATATATATAGATATAATTATAATGATATAATTATATACTAAAACTATTAAAATATAATTATAAAATTATTAAAATATTGACTTCTCTCTCAATTAAGTTGTCGACTTCAAATCAAATAAAGTTATAAACTTATACAATATTATTACTTACATACATTGTTAGAGTTTAGTTACCTAAAAAATGTTTTATTTAAAATAATCTAGAACTATTTTTAAACATTTATTATATCTTCTTATTTTTTTAAGAAAACAAGGACTCCAGTTTTGTCCATGAATTTGTATAAAAAAATTGTATAAAATATGATATAATCTAGGTAAAAGATGGTTCACTAGGTCAAGAAAATCCTTTAATTTATGTGGCAATAGTTTTTTCTCTCTTGAATAGAAATTATTTTTTCTTTTCCCGCTGAGAAAATTTTTATCTATGCTACTTTTCCCCTCGGAGTTATTCATATACTAGCATTTATGAAGTTAAGGTGAATTATTTTCCACGAATTATTTTGTTCTAAAATCGATCTCTTTCGTAAACTTTACAATATTAAAATTTATGAAAAATTTTTGTAGAAGATATATGATATTGTTGGGCAAATTATATTTGAAAAATACGTGACAAAAATATTTATTCATTTGTTTATCGATATGAGGTATATTTTTGTGACATATTAATATGTTATTAAAATTAAACTCACTTTTGAATTAATATTAATATTATTTCATAAATAATATTAAAATTCATATTAAGTTAATATAATAATAAATAAATTCAGATAAAAAAATTTCAGATATTTTATTGATAATGTTTTTATAATAAAATTATAATAACATTATCAATGAAGTATTTAAAATAAAAAATATAGTAATTATATAATAATATGACATACAGATAATATAATTGTAATACAATAAAAAAGTTGATACAACAGCCATATATCACTTACAATATTTATTTGATAAAAAAACACAAGTTAATAAATTTAACGATTTATAAGCACAACAGGAAGAACATAGAAGAGCTGTGTAACGTTCAACTACATACATAACGTTTTTATGCGATGATGTTCTGAAAATAATTCCAAAATATCTACTTATTTATAATATAAAAGTTCTAGAGATAAGATTTTTTTATTTCGTGTCAATTCGTATCAATCGAATATAGTGGATTTAAAATATTACAGCACGATAGAAACAAAAGATTTAAAAGAAGATTTAAAAATAGTACAATATAAAATCTCAGCGTATTTAAAATACAAAATTTTAATTCATAATATATGTCGATTTGAACTATTTTTATTCGAGTATTGACAGTTTTTGAAACTATATTTTATTATGTATATCTTTAAAAGAATAAAACGAAAACATATTCGACTAAAAAAATTTTTATTTATGTCGTCGATCGATGCGACAATGTGTCCACGTTCTCTCTGGGTGGAAGAGGGGGATATTTTTCTCTAAAGAGCAGCCTCGTGATGGAGAAACGATATGCCGTTACGTATCGACGTGCTTGTAATGGAGCTGTCGAGCAAATTTTCTGTGATATAGAGCCGGAGGCGCGCGTCGTATCGTGTCGACTTTAAATACAATGAAAATCGACCCTTATCGCCTCGCGATGTCGCCTCGATGCTTCGAGAGCGATCAGTTGCTCATTATTCGCACTTAAATCCATCCAAGAAAGGGAGAAAATCGGAAAAAAGAAAGAAAGTCTATATTATTGTTTTAGAAAAAGTTTTTTATGCGAGAAAAATATATAATTAAAAATTAAATATCTAAGATTGCTACATATCAGTAAAAAAATAATATATATAATATATGTTACTAAAATAATATATATAATATATGTTACTAAAATTTTCCGAAATAATCCTATTATTATGAGATAATCTTATTAATTAATGAGATATAGTTGCATCGTAATACTCAAGCAAAACTTTCAATTCTCTGTTTCAGGATCATAATGCACCAGTTTCTGTACAATTTCTTTATCCTTGAACTGCTGCTGCTGACAATCCTGTTCGCGTCGTCAGGTCTGGCGATGTCGAAGACGCGCGATAAAAAGAAAAACATTAAGGAGACGAAGGAGGTGAACATCTGCGACATTCTGGGCCAGCAGGCACCGATCTATTGCTATTGCAACGACGGCCTGCATAATTCCAGTGTCGTCAGTTGCTTGGTATTGAGCAAGTTCGAGCGGACCGATCCCATGTGGAATTATTTTAAATCGCAAACCCAGCTCGAAAAATTGACGTTTACGGTGCGTCAGCTCGACAGCCTCGACTACGTACCCGATCATTTGTTGCGCAATTTGAAGAATTTGCGCATAATCGTATTCCAGCATGGAAAATTCCATAAGCTTGCCAGTTACACTTTTAGTAATCTCAGCAGCATTGTCGAGATCAATCTCAGCGGCAACATGATTGTCGAACTGAGCAATTATACCTTCGAGACTATGCAAAATCTCACTTTTATAAATCTCGACTATAATCGTATCTTCGAGATTATTAGGTATGGATAACCGATAATTGATGAATTATCTATTAGAGTAAAGGATGGTCATTATAATCTTTATTGAGTTTGGTAATCTAATGAGTATAATCCGATTTGTGATTTACAATTTATTTCTAAATTTGCGTTATTTATTCTTTATTTTTATCAGTATTTATGCTATACTATTTGGGCTATTTGTATTACTTGATGTTAAGAAAATGTTATATAATACGTAAACACATACGCAAACACAAAAAAGGTCTTTTAAAAGAAGTGTTTCAAAATATACTTTATTATATTGCAATAATAAATTGAAAATTATAAACTTTATATTTCAGCTTGAAATTAATAATTTATAACATTAACTACAATCTAATTATGCAGAAAGTTTCTTACAAAAAATGGATAAAATGCATAAAAGCAAATTAATATACCTATAATATAGTTTCAAAAAACAATAAAAGAAAAACATATTAATTATTACTTAAATTTGTTTTTTCTATAAATTCATATTAGAAAAATACGTCAATTAAATTATTGAACGATTATGCGTGCTATGAAATCTAGTTTTTTTACACATTTTGATATTAAATACATTTTGTATTTAATGAAATGTATTATAATAATATTTTATTTGAGAATATTTATATTTATTTTAATAT